TGCTCAGTTTGACGTTTGCTTGGCTACGACCCAGGCTGTGATTGGGTGGCTTGTTCTCGCTAACCTGGATCGGTGGTTGGTTGCTGTTGTGTACGCCAGCAAGGATTACCACTCTCGAAGGTTATTGTGGAATGACATTGGCGGTTTGATTACTTCGGACCTCCCAGTTATTGTGGGAGGGGATTTCAACTGCTGCTTGGCGCAAGAAGAGAAGAAGGGTGGCCGGCGGTTTTCCTATTCGGCTGGTGATCAAGAAATGGTGGAATTTATGAGTACTCATGATCTCCATGATCTTGGATTCTCTGGACCCACTTTTACGTGGTCTAATAACAAAAGTGGCAGTAGCAAAATTTGGGTTAGACTTGATCGTGTCCTGATGAACTCTGAAGGCTTGCGGCGTGCCCCGTTGGCTAATGTCCGACATCTCGTCCGTATTTCTTCGGACCACTGCCCGTTGTTGGTTACCCTGGAGTCGGCCTCTCGCTCTAAGGGATCAAAATGGCTGCGGTTTGAAGACATCTGGATGACGTATCCAGCTACCTGGAAGCTGGTGTGGAAGAATTGGAACAAATTGGATTATGGGCAACCGGATGCTATTCTGAATCGTAAATGCTCCAGAACGCTGCGGGCTCTATACCACTGGAGTCGGAATCGCCTGAAGGAGCTAGGGGAGCTGAAATCTTCGTTGGAAGCCCGCATTGAGACGCTGCAGATTGCAGAGGGCTCGCTGGATGGTCTGACGACCGAACAAGATGCTGAGCTCCGTCGTTTGGCTGGGGAGCTGATCACCACGCTACCCCGTCTGACTACGTGGTGGAGACAGTGCGCTAAGACCAAATGGATTGAAGAGGGAGATGCTAACTCCCATTTCTTTCATACTAACGCTTCTGCTCGTAGGCGCGGGAACACTATTAAGGAGCTATCTGACAGCAATGGGGAACGGATCCTGGAGCCGCAGCTTATCCATGACGAATTCTGGAATTTTTTTTCGCTGAAATGGAGAGATAGGCAGGTGAGGTTAGAAGATTGGCCGGTTTTCAATGATGAAGACAGAGTTCCTGCTCATTTTCAAACCATGCTGGACGCGGAGGTGACGGATCTGGAAATTCAGCAGGCAGTTTTCAGCCTTGGTAACAACCGCTCTCCGGGCACTGACGGTATTAATGCTTCCTTTTTGAAATTTTATTGGAAATCATTAAGGGAGATGTCTCTCAGGCCATCTCCCATTTCTTTTGTACTAATTCTATGTGTGAGAACTGGAAGGAAACAATAGTTGTCCTTATCCTGAAACTTGCTAATGCGAAATCAGCCGAGTAAATTCCGACCAATTAGCCTATGTCAGAGCTTCTACAAGGTGGTGGCTAAAGTTCTGATTAACCGGCTGAAGCCGGTGCTGAGTAGCATTGTGGGCGAGGAGCAGGGGGCGTTTGTCCCTGGCCGGAGCATCACTAATCACTGTTTGATTGCCCAGGAGGTGATGGATAAACTCAAGCATTCGTCCCAAAAATCGGGCTTGATGGCTCTAAAGGTTGATATGGAGCAAGCGTACGACTGCATGGCTTGGAGCACTCTGGATAAGGTCATGAGACTTATGGGATTCAGCGATAAGTTTATTCATTGGATTATCCAATGTGTTACCTGGCCCAAGTTTTCGTTACTTATCAATGGGCTGAGAACAGATTGGATAAGGGCGGAGAGTGGATTCCGACAAGGCT